AGCTTTGTGCATAACTACAAACAAATAAACTAGCAATTGTTGAGGAGATCAGCGCTCATGTTGTCAAAACACGAGTAGTTTTGTAAAGGAGCAAACCATCTTTAGTACGTCCAATAAGAATGCATTAGCAGGGTTATGTATTTTGGAACTTTTCCATTTCTAGTCTGGTGTAAATTTACATTCGTCGACTTCGCTCGACTCCATTGTGGATGGGCCTTTATATTGCTCAATAGTATACAAAGATCAGCTTACCTCAGAGCCTAACATTAATTCACCAATATACAAACATCATATGACCTCAGAGATTAACAATTTTCACTCATATACGAACATTAGATGACCCTACAGACTAATATTGTTCATCAATACACGAACATTATCTGACTTCAGAAACTTACTGTGCTCACCAATATACAAATAATATATGACACAAGAGCCAAGAAATATTCAATAATATAAAAACAGATAATTTTTTTGATCAATACTTAGATTAGTTGATCCCAAACAATGTAAAGTAACAATACTAGTAAATTGGTGACAAGAAATTATTCTTTAATAATTTGTTAATATACTAATATTCTTAATGGAGTAAGAATACATACTTTAGCTCCTCTCTGAGAGATTTTTTTTTTACTTATTGATTGATTTAACTGTGCATTTCTCAAATAAACTTAAATTCCGAAAAAAAGCATATTTTGTGTCTAATTAAATATTTTAATTTAGTTGAGTAATTTGTTACATTCATATTGAAAACTAGTTTTTTTTTAGAATACATTTATGGGATTATTTTGAATATGTATAACTTTGAGTTGTGGAATTGTTTCAGAAAGGTGATGTTGCGTTTGTTTATTTCTTTATCAGAATGTTTGGTTGCATTTATTTAACATACTATTTAACTTTGTTCGTGTGAATAACGTTAGTTTACCTTACTTATGCTATTTGCTTAAACTTCCATTTTCTTCAAGCAACAAGACATACAGGTAAATAGGAAATGGGAGCTTTTTTACTGCCGCTTGGGAACTACGAACTGTCTTATCACTACAAGTAACTACGCCCACTATAGGTGCTAGGAGTTTTCTTAGTGCCACTTTGGAACTAACCATCTTATCACTACAAGTAACTACGCCCACTATAGGTGCTAGGAGTTTTCTTAGTGCCACTTTGGAACTACGAACCGTCTTATTAATACAAGTCACTACGCCCACTATAGGTGCTAGGAGTTTTCTTAGTGCCACTTTGGAACTACGAACCGTCTTATTAATACAAGTCACTACGCCAACTATAGGTGCTAGGAGCTTTCTTAGTGCCACTTTGGAACTACGAACCGTCTTATTAATACAAGTAACTACGCCCACTATAGGTGCTAGGAGTTTTCTTAGTGCCACTTTGGAACTACGAACCGTCTTATCACTACAAGTAACTACGCCCACTGCACTAAGATCTGTCTAATTGTCATTTGAGACCGCTAGATCAAGACACTGCATCAACCAACAAAGCAAAATTACCGTATTGTTACAAGATTAGAAGATCCGCTAAAAGATTATAATACAAAACGTATCTGTACGTAATAACAACGTAAAACTTACCTGTAAAACTTTTCAGCAAATAAATGTTTTGTTCAGTGTTAGTGAGGGGCCTATTGGACTGAATAATTAATTCAAAATACAGTAACAGCACCTTTTACAGAGACTTACAGCGTTTCGACCTAAAGTATCTGTCAACATCAGGTAAATTTTACCTTCAAATAACACAACTTTTACATGATGATCATGACTCGATACTATGGGTCGAAACGTTGTAATCACTAAAATCAGAACTTACCTCCTGTAAAAATATTGTTTTTATATAAATATTTTCTTTCTTTGTTTGTTGTTAAGCACAAACGTACACATTAGGCTGTCTGTGCTCTGGCCATTGCGGTTATCGAAACCCAATTTTCTGTGATATACGCCCGTCGGACTTACCGCTGAACCACGTGGGGGATGTAAACAAATAAATAACTGGACTCAGCTCACTAAGTAGAACAAAGATTTTAATTCAGGAGTTCGTTCGAGAACCATGGTTATGTTTTATCTCTTCTGAAGAAATGTTCTACGTGAAGTTTTTAGACTTGTAAACAAGAGGAAATATAACAATATCTTAAATCTACTCTTTATTTCTTTTTATGCCTAAAATCTGTTAAACAGAAACAAGATCTCAAGGTCAGTTATTCATACAGTTTCCCTTAATTGCAATTAAAACGTAAAGCCCTCTAAAATACCGAGACAATTTTTGTGTGCAAATAGCAGCCCCCCAGATGGCTGAGCAGTAATAAGTCTGTGGCCTTTTAAAGCTAAAAATCGGGTTTCAATACCCGCGGTGGGCTTAGAACAGACAGCCTATCGTGTAGCTTTGCGCTTAAGCAGAAACAAACGAACTGTACAAGTGATAAATT